AATTAGCATTCTGGAATGCTCATGCCATTCAGAACAAGTTGACGGAATTTTTAAACTTCCTTAACAATCACAATATTGATATTGCCCTTGTAACAGAGACTTTTGTCACGCCATGCGTGCGTATAAATTTGCCTATTTGCCTAATTACCGCACATATAGGTGCGATCGTTTGAGTCACCGTGGTGGGGGGCGCCGCAATTTATGTGCGAAACTCGCTACAGTCCTGTTTGATTAGCCAAGATAGAAACGACGGACATGAGATGGTCGCAGTCTTAGTGTACTTACCGCAATATGGTAATTTGAATTTCATTTCATTTTATAATCCGCCCAGGAAACTACTGACGGAAAGTGTTCTTTCCAAACTTCTCTCTGACACTAATAAGTATATCCTAACGGGTGATCTCAACGCAAAGCACTCCGAGTGGGGGTGCCGTAAAACTAACCAAAATGGTAAGGTCCTCTATGAATTTATAAATAATCACCCAGTTGCCTTGAATGTTACTGAGGAGTATACGTATAGACCACAGAACCCAAGAAATGCAGACCTTCTTGATATTCTTCTGACAAATACTTCAATCCCTATTTATATACTGAAGTAAAGCACGAATTGAGCTCTGACCATATACCGGTCATTGCTTACCTAGGCACTACTAAAGAGGCAGAAAATGAAATGATCCGCACGACTGACTGGAATAAGTTCCAGAAGTTTCTCTCAGTCAGAATCCGCCCATCTTGATCTCTGAACTCGCGGAAAGATATAGATGATGCAGTTGATACCCTCACTGATTCAATCAATAATGCTATTGAAAATGCCTCTAGACACGTGAGAAGAAATAATAACGCTGGCATTCTGCCACAGGAAATTAGAGAGATGATTAAGGACCGGAATAGGATGAGGAAAGCGTGGCACCTTACATGGAGCCCTCACGTTAAAAGAGATATGAACAAATTAAATAAATTAATTAAAAAGAAAATAGATGAGCATAAGAGAGATGTATGGGAAGAAAAAATTCAGAATCTTAGTCCGAATGATGGCAGTCTCTGGACGTTCATGCGTAACTAACTTGAAAAGGCAGCGTACATGCAATAAGCCGATTTATACTGAAAACTCTGTTGCTCTCAACAATAAAGACAAATCGACGGTCCTTGCGGACCATTTAGAAGAGCAGTTCAGACCTAACATGACGCCCATGGACATTAATTTTGTCAAGAGGCATGCAACTTTGTTAGGGATTGGCTTAATGCCCACACTGCTAAGAGGTACATGGCCACTGCTACCCCCAGTGAGATCAAAGAAATCACAAAGAAGCTTAAAGTCAAAAAGGCCCCTGGCATAGACGGTATTAATAATCAAGCACTTAGAAATCTGCCCTGCAATGTTGTGACAAAATTCACGAGTATTATCAATGCGTGTCTTAGTCAATGCTATTTTCCCACAAAGTGGAAAATCGCTAAAGTTATTTTATTGCCTTGCAATATTTTATTGTTGCATTTTATTGCCTAAGCCCGGCAAGGATAACACTAAGCCAGATGGGTACAGGCCCATTAGCTTGCTTCCGGGACTAGGAAAGGTCTTTGAGAGATTAATCTACAGCAGATTGAAAAACTATATTGAACTACTGCCTCCGGAACAATTTGGTTTCCGGAGAAAGCTTTCAACAACGAAGCAGCTGGTTCGGCTCGTCGAGTTTTGTGGGGATGCGCTTCACAAGAAACAAAATGTCGCCTTACTCATGCTAGACTCACGCTAGACGCGGTCGAAAGCATTCGACCGCGTCTGGCATGAGGGGCTTATTTATAAACTTATAAATCTCCCTATGGATAGAGAGCTGATTCAGCTAATTATGTCTTTCATCACTAATAGGAAATTCACTGTGGCTATTGGAAAGGACATCTCCAGTTTACGCACCATGAATGCAGGCGTCCCACAGGGGTCCATTTTAGGGCCCGTCCTGTATTTATTTTATGTTCATGACTTCCCTTAGGGCTCACATTGGCAGAAATTACTTTCTTGGGTGCTATGCGGATGATACGGCATTAGCCGTAAAGTCCGCAAACGCACACCATGCAATCAAGAAATTACAGGAGCTTCTACCAGTGGTAGAAAAGTGGTGTACAACTTGGAGAATTGCTATTAATACCAGCAAGTCGCAATTATTATTGATAAGGAGGAAAAATACACAGTTGACTATTAATAGCAAGCTCTTCTTATTCTCTGAAGAGATTCCTAGAGTTAGTAAGGCGAAATATTTAGGAGTAATGCTAAATGAAAGATTAAAATGGGGAGATCATATAACAGAGGTCAGAAGAAAAATTTTCACTGTTGTAAATAGTCTCATCCCTATATTGGGTAATTATTCTATCTAGCTTAGACCTCAGGAAAAGAGGCTAGTTTATATCACGGCAATTAGGCCATTGATGACTTATGCGTCGCCGGCCTGGTGCACGGCTACCAAGGAGGAATATAAAAAGACTTCAAATCATGCAAAACAAAGTCTTAAGGCTTATCACCCATGCTCACTTTTTTTATGAGCAATGCTACACACTGCACTGTGACTTAAAACTGGACACTCTAGAAGAGCACCTGAATAAGATCAACAGGAAATTCTTCACGAAAGCTCTGAACTGTGACCATATGAGAAATTTTGATATCTTTACCTACGAAATATTGAATGAGGACGCCAAACTGCGCCCACTTGCGGCCCACCTTATCAGGGACCCGAACTTTCCCACCTAGTGCCCACCTGTAAATAATGTACCCAATGTGTTTATTAGCATTCTTAATTTTGTATTTTACTCATTTATTGTACTGTGTATTTCTTAAATTCTCTAGTTTAATCACATTCTACACTCATTTTATGACTCCCACTTAGTCACGCCGCCTTTACCGGGCCGGTTACTTGCTTGTGAGCTCTTGCGTTGCTGGTCTTCCTATTCTTTATATCCGTCTTTCTCCTCCTTACTGCGGACATTATGTGAAGATAGTTCTATGTTATTGTGCCCATCCGGCATAAATTTGATTGAGCCAGATAAACTACTGATCTCAGTGGTATTCTGGCTATAAGTTATCAGTCAGTCAGTCAGTCAAGAACTCTTCGCTTCGATACGTTAACTATCTAATTCGCATTCTTGTGGAAGTTGACGAAAGTAAAAGTCAAGTTAAAGGCAAAATAATAATTTAACTGGGTTAATTAGCATAAAACACTACAACTCATCATGAATACTGTAGTTTGTTGTGTTTAGATGAAACAAATGCAGTTTCATGGGCGACGACCGTAGACGACCGCTTTTTAAAGTGACGAATGTTTTTGAGTATATAGGCAAATAAGATCACCGATAGTAGTAAGATCACCTTCACTGGTAACCATAGTAATCTAGAACCTTGGTGGTCCTCTTAGGGAAGTTTTATTGCGTTAAAAATAAACCATGAACAAAGTATTCCTATGCAACTGGACATCCTCTGCCCGATAATGACAGTAAAATTGAAAAATTTCTCACCGTAGTGTATATTCCATTATAGTCATTAGTTGGTTCCAGATTTCTGTGGAAGTCCAAAATTTCCCTCCATACTTGGACAGAACCTATGAAAAATACAAATGTTTAGTCTACGAGGAATGAAACTAAGCAAATATTGCTTCTTTAATTGTTTTTGTTTCCAACCGAAAGGAATCTTATTTTAAATGCTAGTCCTTATATATGTATTGTTCTAAATTTATATGTATACTTGCATATTTTCCCTCTTCATGTTTTTATATATTACAGAGGAAGGAAGGATTCCTATCTCCATGATGCATATAGTTATTTTCTTACGTTTTAAAGGAATAAATTTCACGTATGTTATTGCTCACAATTTTTTGACATCTGTGATAATACTATAAATATTAGAACTGGATTTACTAGTTAAGGCAAAGCACAAAGTAACCAAAGGAGAAACAAGCCTTAGCGAAGCACCTACTAATAATCTGAAACTGATTGGTGCTTACACAGAAGGAAAATCTCAAAAGTCCATTTCATTTGCATGTTCAACGGCTAGGAACAGAGCCCAGACAACTACCAGCATTTCGCAGTGGCCACTAGAAATATAATATTCGAAATTTGACACAATTTTGACATTTGAGGCGAATGTTTTACATTATTTTATCTAAACACTGCCCAAAACGTCAACTTTTCGTACTTTTTAACAACTCTGATATTATATTCTCTGATCATGTATGGTCAAAACAATAAAATCTGGAAATTTTCCCTTTGCAAGTACTGGCAATTCGGTCCGAGATTCGAATCCAGCGAACGGGCTGTCTGCATGGGCGTTTTCTTGGTTTTTCCCTATGTAACGTGTATACGAGCCAGTTTCCCTTAGAAAGTCCTCCGCGAAGGCATCCCTACCCTTAGGCAGAAAGCCCTCGAACCTTTGCCGTAATCACATAAACCAAACCACACCAACCCTTTGCCAGTATCCTGTATACTCTTTGCCTGTATAAGAAATGTGATACCAGTAAGTGCTTCTTCAGTGAAAGTACTTAGTTAAGTTGAAGTTTATTTAAAGTAAAAACTACCCCTTTAAAGGAAATTTTACTGTTGCTTTTGTTGTCAAACATTTTATAACTGAGATCTAATGAAATATTAAGGTCAATAAAATTCCAAGTGTCCGGATTATTTATCGCTGTATTTAAGTCGAGTAAAACTGAGCTTGTTTTAATTTTTTTATTTGATTTAAATTTTTTTCTTTGATTTAAATTATATAAAAATATAACATAGCCCAGTAAAATATTTTTAAGAATACACAGGGTTAAGTATTATTTAATTTGCTATCTAGTTGCGAGGGCAGATCAAAAAGTAAGTTGCTTTCCAAGTTACGACCATTTATTAATTGTCAATACAAAAGCAATACGGCTATGACAGCATACAATGCAAGTTCACTTTTCCACATAGTTCCCAAGACATTCTAAACATTTCTCCGAACGGACAACCAACTTTTCGATTCCGGATGCATAGAAATCTCCTCCAGCGCTATGTAACCACACGATGAGAGCTGCTTTCACCTCCTCATCATTTCGGAATCGTTGTCCACCGAGATGCTTTCTAAGTTTACCGAAAACATGAACTCAACACATTACAAGGCTCGCCAAACGTGCGACCTACTGCAACGATTCAAGTGGGAGATACGGCAACATCCTCCATACAGTTCCAATTTAGCACCATGTGACTTTCATGTTTACGGTAAGCTTAAAAAGCATCTCGGTGGACAACGATTCTGAAATGATGAGGAGGTAAAAGCAGCTGTCTCCGTGTGGTTACATAGAGCTGGAGGAGATTTCTATGCATCCAGAATCAAAAAGTTGGTTGTCCGTTCGGAGAAATGTTTAGAGTGTCTTGGGAGCTATGTGTAAAAGTGAACTTACATTGTATGCTGTCATAGCCGTGTATTGACAATTTAATAAATGGTCATAATTTGGAAGTGCAACTTACTTTTTGATCTGCGCTTATTTTAAGTACCTTTCCTTCCAATTCTCATTTCATTTCCCTACCAGAATGGAAAATTTCCAGCATGCGCGATATTCAAATTAGCTAAAAGGAAGCATTTAAAAGAAGCTTTCGAAAGGTGAAATCAAAGCTAAGGCCACGTTACTGATGCTCTAGCGATTAGAATCCTGCGATATTGAGTTATTCTGGCGATTAGGCTTATTTACTCCGACTTCCGAGTCAGAGCCAGCTTGCGCGATAGTAATACTGTGAAGCCGTTAAGCCAAAAATGTTGGCTTTTGTAAGCACGAGTTGGTGCCGACTGTTAACCTTTATTTGACTTAATAAGGGATTCTTTACACCCTCCTCCTGACTTTGCAATACTTTAAAATACTTCTTGATAAGTCACCTTGTAAGGATCTTAAGTTTTACTAACGTTTATTTTATTTTAAATCTTTACTATCACTTCTTATTTTCTACTTCCGGCCAGAATTATAAGCGTTAAAGCATTTATGCAAAGTTTGTCTGGCGAACGCCAAGTATTTAAGTTGTGGCTTTTTGCCAAGCGAGAGAGAGGAAGCAGTTAGTCGAAGCAGGCCGCTTACCTTAGAAGTTTACTCAGTCGCTGGTTGCCTTCCAGGCTAGAGGTTTTAATCCTCTTGATAATTTTTAAACGTATTGTAGTGTTCACAGTTCTCTGTACTACATACGGCTTCCTGTTAATATAAGGCCAATCTTCCACACGTTTATTATTTAAAGTTAAATTAGAGTTTAGTTTTATTTTTATACTTTTACGTTTTGACCCCAAGAAGCGGGTCTGTGTATTTCCGAAGTACGGAAGTTATTGTAAATAGAGAAAAATAAAGGGTTTTGTATACCCTTCTTGTGTATCCTGTCTACTTCCCACAATTGTTGAACATAGCTTTAGTAAGCTCTCTGTTCCGAGTCAGGTCCTTGCATGTTCCCGCGAAGAAGGTTAGACGGAACATTGAACCTGATAACCTTCGTGATAAGTTTTATGCTATACACGACTTTATAACATTGAATAAACCAGTAAATTAATTTAGATGAATGTTTAGGACATCTGGATTGTATTACAGTACCTGATAAATACGTAATTTATTCCATTAGCATCACTTTATTATTTGCCTGAAAACATTCTTTTATTTATTCATTCAAAAGTAGCAAATTACGAAGCAGGTAGTTTTCACTTACTTTCGATTTTGTGCGTATAGTAATCTCCTTCTGCATAGTAGAAGCCTAAGAAGGAATCAAATCCACGGCGCGTTGGTGTATAGGATTCATTACAATGTCCGAGATGCCATCTAAGGAAAAGAAAAATTATCTTAGTTTGTAAATCAAACTTAAATAACAAAAGCTTCATGTAACGTCCATATAAAAAATATGTTTGTGGCTGAGTTCATTTCTTAATCACAAGGAACTTGATCAAAAAAGTAAAATTCTTCATCACATGATCTTGAATATGCAGTATCTTTTTAGGAAAATTATTTTAAAGTTAATGGAAAAATTCAAGCGAATTTCTTACTGAAATTTCCATTGCACTGTACAGAAGACAATCTATTAACTATATCTGAGCAATGGAAAAGAAGTGCCTAAATTCGGAACAAAGAGCTAAATATATAGTATCAGTCTCATAGACCTTTCGGAAGGGCTTCCTTGGGCTTTGTCGATGGTTTGTTTGAAATTTATCACATTTTTTCTTGGGAGGGGCTTTTACCTTTAATTTAAGCAAACATTATAAGCTTTCTAAAATTATTATTATCATTCATCAAATGGAAAAATTAGGGAATTCTCTGTCCTATTCCTGCTGGCTTATGTACTAGTTATATGCAGCATTTTAAATCCGCATTATTTAAAAAATAATAATAATTTTCAGTTTCCCAATTCCGGGGATTGTTTGTTTACTTTTTTATTGGTAATAAAGATAATTTTAAAATGTTTCTACTGGTTATAAATTTAATAGATTTTTGATTTTTACGCAATCGAGTTCTAATTCCACTTATGTACTTGTAATACCTAATTCTTGTTTCTGCTCCTGTTTTTTATCGATAGAAGGCGCGAATGGGCTGGCTGCAGAGGGTGTTTTCGTGGTTTTCCCCGTGTGTAGCGTGTATACGTTGCACATGGGAAAGTCCTCCACGAAGGCATCCCTCCTCTCAGGCAGATAGCCCTTGGAGGATTTGCCGTAATCACATAAACCAAACCAAATCTATCGACAGAAGGAGTCATTATAGAGGTATTATTGTATTAATTTCTTGAAGTTTTTCTTGCTTTGTTTTTTTCTTTTTTGTTTTTTTTTTCCAATGGTCTATGTTTCATCCACTAACCAGCAACCGAAGATGAAAGTACGATTAAAACCTTCAAAACTTACCTTGAGTAAATTTTCAAACTTTGGGGCTATTTTGTTGAAAATATTTCAATAATTTTAAATAAACTAATAATTTTAAATAAACCATAATGCACTAAAGGAATTAATGCTAAGCTGTTCTGCTTAAACGCATAATGTACTGGGCTTGGTTACATTGTTATGTCACAGCACTCTATTTGTTTAAGGAGAGAAATTCTTCATGGAGAACATTCTAAGGCAAATTGCCTCATGTTTACCTTACACCACGAAAATTCCATGCACTGACTCTTTCAACCAACCGCTGACAAAAATTACCGGCTCGAACTATTAATATTGCATGGTTTTTTTTGCTGCCTGGCCAAGAAAATACAAAGGAATACTTTATCTGCTACAAATTATTCAGATACTAGTGTGGAAGGAAGTATGGTCTTGCATTTTGTATTTATATTTAAAAACTACTATTTTCCCATTTTCCGAAATAAAACTTTTGTGTACTTACTTTCCTATAATATGAGTAGAATATCTGAGTTCTTTCAGCTTCTGTGACAGGAAAGGATATTTCACTGATACGCCTGTTGGTTCCAGCACTATAACAACGCAGTTCTAAAATAAAATTACTAGATTAACTTATTTAAAAAGCTATCAACAGTAATCTATAGAATAATATTCATATATAGTCTTGTTTATTATACGAGTGGTGGGAAACTTAGTAAACTTTCTAAATTTATCGAATCTGAACAGGTGATTTTAAGACAATAAATGACCATGAAAAATACTTAGCAGGATAAATAACATGTAATAAATTTTAAAAAGTACAAAATGAAGGAAATGTTTTGAAAATATAAGCTTTAAATAGGTAAAAAAAATTGGAAAGATACTAGAATTAGTGCAAAATTGCTCACATATTAAATAGTTATTCATAAAAAAACATGAAAATTTTTTACTCCAGTAACTGTAGAGTCATTAGGTTTTTTTTAATGCCGGAAACGGAAAGGAGCAATGCTCTCGCCGGGATTCGAATATTCGCCGAGTGTGCTAACCGTTACACCGCAACACCGCGAAGGCATGCTGGAAAGAGGGAGAAAATACTCCCCCTTTTTAAAGGGCTATTGCGGATTAGGGTACCCAGTCGCCAAATCCTTGTGGTGAAGAATCATCACCCACCGCCTTTTTTTTTAGTTCGGGCGCCACTGTAGAGTCTAGTTTTTTTGGGGGGGAGCATAAAATGTAGACCCTACTGAAGACGATAAAGCCAATTTTTCGCTATGTCTTGAAAAAAAAAAGCAAAAGATGACTGCCGACGAAAGTTATAACAACCTTTTTATTTTAACTAAACTGAACAGAACATGCACTCACTCGGTATTCACAATATAACTACCACTTGTGTAACTTAATACAAAATAGTATATACAGTCAGAATGAATTAAATTTTAACTACACGACTGGCTCCACTTTAATCTAAATCCGCTTTGTCAGCTGCACACAGCAATGCCGAGTATAGAATATCAATATAAATTAAAGTATGTGGCTAGCTCAAAATATTCAGCAACACAGCTACTTGCAAACACACGGCATAAGCTGTAACTAACTGCCTCTTCTACTGCGAACTCTTAAGTTCTACTACTTAAATACTATTTCCGAACTCATTTAGATTTTCATATACGTCATTTAAACTTGTATTCTGGCAGGAAATTAAAATCAGAAGGGAAAGGAAAGTTTCTTAAAAGAAAAAACAATTGATTAGTTTAAAATAAGGTCTTTACACAATAAGCAGATTTGCATGGAGTTAAAAGATATGCCTCTTCTGTGCTTTATAATTGGGCAGTAGTAAGCACACCAAGCAAGCAATGAAAAAATTCAGATTCAGTTCTCGGCAAGTGAGAGTTTGAATTTCTCAAAAGTTCTTGCTCCCAAAACCTAATGACTCCATAACCTTTCCTTAATTTTACTGCAGTAAACTCTATTTATCTTAAGAAAGTACCATGAAGAAGTTCTTACTTCAAATTTTCATAAGTTAAAGTAAGATTCGCATTATCCGATTGAAGTTACAAGTATTCGTACGCAACGTAACCTAAGTCTCTGTACCATTTCTACAATTGATCACTTACATCATATTCAGACTCATTCTCTGACTTACAAATTTATTAGGTGCATCAAGTTATCCTTATCAAGAATGAAGAGAGCAGTGAAAGCGTGTTTACCAGGCTTTGCATTGTATTCTTTCGGGATTTATGTATCATGAAGAGTATACTTATTTGCTCTCGATGTTCTCGTTGTTTATGCTTCGCTATGTTCACACTATGGCGTAAGTATCACTGTCATAGTCATTACTACTAGTCATCATAAGAGCGGTCACGCTGTAAGAGTTTTGGGAATTGGCTATCTAATTTAAAGTAAGTCGTGTAATAATTCTTTCCATAAGGAATAAAAATGAACATTGCATAAAATTCCGATTACCTCACAGACCTGTGTATTTTTTATATTAAAATATTGGTAAGTATACAGAGAAAGTATAGAAAATTTGTGTTAGGAGAAATGTAATCGGGATTCAGATAAGAGATGGGTATTTGTAGGACTACGCAGTTCTGCAGTTTATCAATAGATTCAAGTTTTCAAATTTCCACCAAGGCTCATATTAAAAAAAATCGGAAAACAAACCTTTCACATTGAAATTTTGTTAAATTATTCTCTAACTTCAGCGAAAATTCAAATCTTGGAGAGTGCGCTGGCTGCATGCGTTAGTCGTGGTTTTTATTATGTGTAATGTTACTAAGAGGAAATTTTCCTTAGAAATTCTCCCCATATAGTCATATAGCCCTCGCATTCTTTTCTTTTTATCACTTAACCGATCAACTGATGGACTTTCGTGAAGCTCTGTCAGACAGCCATGTTAGGCTTAGAAAACAAAAATGCTTCATTATCATTTGACAGAAAAAAAAAAAAAAAAAAAAAAAAAAACTATAAAATGCTTTATATTTTACTTTGTTGAGCGTTTTTCAGGGCAATTAGCTGATGAGTGGAAAGAATAAATTAAAAATTCATTGGAAAATTATTCTCACAGAGAGTTAGAATTCGGCAGCCAATAGGTTGGTAATCACATACGCGTAAGCTCAACTTCCTTTGATTCTTTGTGCCTTAGACTGTAATACTCAGAGTTTTGGCAGTGAGAACGCTGCTACAAATCTTATTAGCAATGTATCTGCCAAACGTGACATTTAAGCCAAAGCATAAAAGCAGACTTATTTCCGAAGCTGTTCGAAAAATATGAAATCCCCCGAAAAGGGCTCCCTGAGAACAAATTCTCAATACTAAATCACGAAGAAGCATTTAATGAAGACGCATTAAGACGCATGAAGCTCAGTACTGCAGAAATTCCAGAAAACAGTCGCAGAAAATATAAATAAAAACTCTCAAATAAAGTATAGATATGTTACAAGAAAATTATCTCTCACAACGGAGCGTACGACTTTTGCCTCATCGTTTTCGCCCAAATTCCTAATAATTGCAGGGGATCTTAAAGTAAATACTTACAAAGATAAAGAGAGCACCTTTCAAAATAAGAGAAAAAATCGGTGATAAAGGAATCGCTTTATAAAAATGAAGAACTAATTGATAACTTAGGCTCATTTTTCGTTTTTAATCTGGCTTATTCTTTTTTCCTTTTTGTCATCTAATAGGAAAGGTTGGTGCAAGGAATTCTATAGCAGACTATAATTTGAGATCTTTGCTTATTAAACTTACACTATTTTACCTGCGAATGTATGAAAACGTTAAATTTATAAATAAATATTATCTATTACTAAACTGTACTTTCATAAATTTTTAACTTCTGCCGTTTTCTCTCTTAAAGAGCTCTTTTTCTTTTTGAAAGTTAGGTAAAATTATTCTACGACCAGCTACATTTTAAGCAAAGGAAGCGTTTTAGGAGCGACATTTGAAAAACTAAACAGCTTAGGTGGACCCTCTGTCGTGTTTGCGGAGTAATAAAGTGCATGAGAGAATATATATATAATATATATATATTTTTACTGATAGATTTTAAACAAAGTGCTTGTAATAGATATCAAATAGCTGATTTATGTCGTCTTCCTTCTTCCTGCCTCATATACAGCAGTTTAATTTAAAAATAAACTTTATTTCCATGAGCGAGATTAAGTAACCAAAAATAAAAATAAATAAAATAAGTTACCTGACAACGCTCTTTGGAATTATTTTATCTTAAGTAAATAAATATACTCTTTTGTGTAGATTAAAAAACTCAGCTTAAAGGTATCTAGTTTAAGTTTACTTTATACATAGATTGTTACGATATTTAATTGTAAGTTTTAGACATCACGAAAATGTGCAGAACAGATCAAAGAAGGCTGGAAGTTAAAGCATTAGCTAGGTGTTATGAGTAGCGATTTAATAAAAGCGAAAGAACAAAGTCAGGTGCAACAAAAAAAAAAAAAAAAAAAAATTATGACAAAGTAAAACTAGAATAACATTTATAGCTTCTCTTTTACTTTTTAATTTCTTGATATAAATATCTGATAGTCTGTCTGGCTAAGACTTTGATAACTAAGATTACGAAAATAAGTCAATGTGATTAAATTAAGAATGTTATAGAAACAAAAAATACCATTTGTAAAATTTTATGACATGCATACTACAGCAACAAGAAGCGTAAGTTGCATAAATTTGCAGGACTATAGTTTTGAAGGTTCAATAACCTTCTTCAGCTGCAGGAGTGAAAATGATGATGGGGAAACATCTGCTGACGTGGTTACAATAGACAAAAAAAGAAAATGGAAAAAATCTATTTGCGTCATCTATTGACAAAACGTAAAAGCGTCTATGAATCAGTCATTCATAAATCCTCCATTTCCCAACAGTACTGTCAAAAGTTACATTTTACGTTTCTCTACATCTACAACCTATTAAAAAACATCTCCCACTGGCGAATTAGACTTCCTACAGACGTTTCAAGCTCCTGGTTAATAATCCCATCTAATCCGTCTTTACCTTTCAGTTTTAAAGGAATTATTTTATAGTTGCTTTCACATTTTGCCAATAGATGGCGCCAGTAATTTTGTTTCTTCCTTTTCTTCCTTTTCGTCAATTGTTATTGCATGAGTACAAGTTTTCTCTTTGTCATTTTCCTTCTTGCAGCTGAAGAAGGTTCTAATTAACCTTCGAAACTATAGTCCTACAAATTTACGCAATTTACAATGATTCTTGTTGCTGTCTGTAGCGCGTTTAACATTGTTCTTCGGTATGTTCGTTTTATCATAATTAATAGTTACGTAGTATTAACTTCTAGCAAATGATGCCTGAAGCTAAGAGCCTGACCTAATTTGGTAAATAAATGAAGAATTGCTGAAACCGCATCTCAGTTGTACAATTATTATAAGTATAAAAACATATCTTTTTAAATAAATTAGGTACGGGATACTAAGTGATCGGAATTATGAAAAATATGGAGTCACTGGTTAAAAAAACTCGTGTAGATAATGTTATTACCTTATGAAAAGGCACAAATATTAGTTCTCACCTGACGTCCAATGTGGTATGGGTAGTAACCAGTCATAAAAGCAGCTCTTGATCTGAAATGAAATGGATTTCACATAAAAGAAGAGTTTTAAATAATATTTTTCCGTTTTAAAATGCAACTCAAGCACAAACAAGATAAAAAATTTCACTCAGAACGAGTTGATGAGTTAGGTAATCTTTCACATTTTAGTTATCCTGTCTTGTAAGAACGTAGACCTGTCCTTGGAAATGGGTCGTGAAACATCAATAAATTATCTCTGGATTGAAATGGAGATCCAGCTGCTGATATCGTTATATTCGCTGAATAATTTTACTGGACATTAACTCTTGAATATTTTTAAACACTACATCATAAACTCATCATGAATGGATGTCATCGAGCTGAATTTATTTAAAAAAAATCATACAAAAAAGTAAAAATGAGGCGTGGCATTTTGGTTACAGTTAAGTGAGTGGATTTATTTAAAAAACTGTGAGTGAAGATTCTTGGCTACAATTTAAATTTAGAGCTTATAGTACAAAACGGAAGAAGTCATTCAGTAATTGGCTTGTAGATCAGTAATTCTGAACGCATGTAAGATACCAGCCTCATTTCTTTTCAAGCAAGGCTAACTGTAAAACATTTTAAAAGTGAATGCATCTCCAGAAGAGCAGGTTGGTCCCTGTGCCGAATCGTAGTGCACAAGCACCTACACACGTCTAAGGTGCATCAGTTGCGTCGATGGTGGTTGGGAGGAGGGAATGTGGTACGTTCCCACTAGTGACGGTGCTGTCAGAGTGATTTCAGCACGCGCGAATTGACGCATCCGCAGGCTTGCGATGGTGACATGTAGGACACTCTTGATGCTCTCCCGGCGACCAGCACCTTTATTCGAAGATTGACAACGGGTGGCCTATACTTATGGCGTCCGTTAAGAAGCCTGCCACTGAGCCAACAACACAGGGGGCCTCTGTTTGCGATGGTGTCAGACTTCGGCCACGTAGACAACGTGGAGTCACGAGGACTTCAGAGTGACATAATCTGATGTTTTCCGACGAGTCACGCATTTAGCTAAGCAATGACAGTCACTACTTCCTTCCTTCAGGCATTTATCTTCCTTCCAAATACGATTTACCAACAGGATAATGTCAGATCACACACGGCGCATATCAGCCGACAAGCCCTGCAAGATACTCGGAAGCTTCCTTGGTCACCTTTCTCTCCAGATCTCTCACCCATCAAACATGTCTGGGACGAGCTTGCGTGCGTTGTGGCCGCCTCGTTCCGAGGACGAACTGCAGCAAGTAGTTAACAGGCTATAATGGTAGCCTGTTAACCACTTGCTGCAGCTATAATGACATAGATTTAATATCCCTAATCCGAACGATCTGATGTGTCTGTTCCTAGGCGTGTTGCTGCCTATATCGCCGCAAGCGGTGGTCCTACAACATACTGGGCATAATTTTCAGTCGCTCTTTTTATAAGTGTATCATGTTGTATTGAAAATCACGTAATGTTCGTTGCGGTGTCTCTCCTTTTTCTGATTTTCATCATTTTCTCATTTTCTGCGCATGAATAAATGATGAAACTGCATTTTCACTGCCACGTAGTATATATTCTGTTATAGTTATTCTTAGTGAAAAGTAAAGTTGTTTATTATGTGAATCAAACAGAACGAAAACTTAGATTTTCTGATATAATGTTGTAGAGACATTACGTATTTTTGGAAGCAGGCAAGATGGAAAATTAGCAACGCCTTCGCCGGGAATCGAACCGCGTATCTCTTAATTACGCGCTGAGCGTGCAGACCACTACACCACGAAAGCCCGCTAAGAAGGCGGGAGAAATAGCTTGTATACTTCCCCTTTTAAAGGGCGACTGGGGTTTTTACGGGACCCAATCGCCAAATCCTGGGCGTGGAGAATTATCATCCACCATCCTTTTAGTTCGGGAGCAAATGTTGAGACATTATATATTTTTGGAAGCAGGCAAGATGAAAAATGAGCAAATGCCTTTCCCGGGAATCGAACCACGGTCCTCTGGAATGCGTGCCCAGCGTGCAGACCACTACACCACGAAGGCTCGCTAGGAAGGCGATAGAAATACCTTATAATGTAAGAATTAAATGACGTATTACACCAAAAGCGATATGACAGAAAATATTTGGTAACTCTTATTGGCATCGTTTTTTTTTTTCACTCATCCTTTTTATCAAATTGTATTCCTTTTTTATTTAAAGAAATAAAGTAATATTTTTGCTTATTTTTTTATAATTTAAATTCATAATTTGTTGATGAAACTGCGTTCATAATTTTTATATAAAGTTTTATATAAATTTTAAGCGGAAAGAGTGTTTACTGGTTTATCTTCCAGACATAATTAAGAAATAAAAAATGGAATTATCATCTCTTATTTCAAGTATTAATTATATTAAATTATATAACAGGCATGTAATGAAATACGCAAGCACTTAACTTTCTAAGATTTTTGACCCGGAAGAAGTATCCTCAGCGAAAGGATCAAATATCTCTTAATATAGGCGTATACAATTTTTTTGAAAGATGCAAATTTTCAATTTATTAAAGTGTATTTATTCATTGTTAATTGAAAAATATTATACTCAGTGAGGAAGAGGCAAACAAATAATTCTGTTAAAAACGTTTTCTTGGAGGTAAGTCCGCAAGCAAAGTAAAAATATAAATCCATGAAATGGAAATATTCATCCCCAATCTCCTCTATATAAAATTTTGTGCCGATTTGAGGTACGTCTTTCATTCACGTATTGAGTTTGCTGCTCTTTGGTAACATACTCTAATTCTAAACTCTTTGCAGACTTCGAGCGATATATCGCTTCGTCTGCAAACAACGAAAGAAGACTTTGAAACAAACCTTTTCATTAACTCAGAACTAGAACATAAATGCACGTCTCGTGCTTGACAAATCAACCACCTGTGGCAATGAAACTTAAGTAACAGTCAAATTCGTTATTTAAAAACTAAGTCTAATGACCAGAGGCTACACAACTCATTTAATGCGAAGTTGGCTAAAAATTTCTCTCTGACGTAACAATTGAAATATGGACAAACATACTGCAAAGCCGAAAACTGCAATCTTATCGGGATTAGCGAAACATTGTCACGCGGGCCTCGAGAGGCAGAAACATGTTGTGACTTACAATCCAAAAACCTCAGCGTAAATACTCTGAAACTAAATTTGCATTCTGGTAGGGAAACGGAAGAAGAAGTGATAGTAAATATCTAAATTATAAAACAACTGGTTATGAAAAATTATAATAACCTTACACACATTTCTTCATATTCTCCGCAAAGTATCAATTATAATCACAAAAAGTCATGGGCCTAGGTATCGCATTTCTGTATTATTAATTTGTATGTTACGTCAGTGTAGGTTTTTCAAGGCTAAATAAAAACTGTTATTTTTATTCATTAATTCTCCTACTGAAGAATTCAATTTGAATATCGAAAGCGGAAAGACACTCAGATAATTTATCGAAATGTGTTTATTATTTTGAGATATTTTCAGGAGATTCAAAACATTTTTGTGTCAAATAAGTGTAACGTTTTAAAGAGCTTTAATATCACTCCAAAAAGCAAATCTTTTGCCAATCTGAATAGGAACAATAGTAATTTAAGTTTTTTTCAAGACACTGTAAACGAATTTAGCGCGATTCGTAGAACTAAATTATCAGCAAAAACTTAAGAGGACAAAAAAAAAAAAAAAAAAAAAAAAAAAGACGTAAAAAAAGGAAAATGAAAAGGAGAAGAAAGAAATTATTTATGCAGCAAGAGTTAATGCAGTTATACCTAATTTATTTTTAATATTATCTGTCATCTCACATTTTCTCCAACTGAAAATAATTTTTACAATGATTTTCATGCGTTAAAAAAGTGTTTATTCCACAATAAAAAAATTCTGTAAATATGTCGCAGAAACTTCCAGAGAAAAAAAAAAAAAAAAACATACGCAGTGTAAGAAGTGTCAGTGATATGACGTACGTAAAGAATCTGTTTAGTTCTTAAGAATATCAGTTCTTTGTAAGCTTTGGCAAGTATGTCTTTCTCTTGCATCACAGTCACGAGACAACGTTGCTCTTTTTATCCCGTTATCAGCTGACTGCAGTGTTCTCAGCGCAATTTCCAGGTTTTACGTGGTAGTGTTTCAGCTTTCATCATTCATCATGCAGTTAATGAAAAGAAAGGTAGAAAATAAGTGTATTATTTGCAGACTTTTTGAAATCTTCGAAAAAAAAAAATATTTAAACTGTGCATTTTTCTGTGCATCCCACAGTGTATTGAAAAGATTAATCCATTGGAAATTTTCTTGCTTTTTCCATTTACTTTAAAAACCCAATATAATCTAGTACAGAATTTTTTTTTAATTCCTTGCTGAGTAATTTATATTTTGGCAGATGCTGTTAAGCTATAATCAAAAGTGTTCAAGTTGCGTTTTTATTTCGATCTATTTTTAAGCAAAAATTTGGCACAATAACACTAAATAAGTTTGCTTCTTGAAGAAAGGAAACTTGCACCACTCTCATGAAACGTATACAAATTTTCTTATTTGATTCTTTGGTTTAATTTTATATGATATAAGCAGCATGTTTGTTAGACAGTATTCCTATAGACTCACTACTTCAAAAAATAAAAAATAAAAAAAATAAAAAATAAAAATAAAAATAAAAAAAGAGAAGAAGAAGAGGTTGCGATATAGTTATATTTTAGTGCCCCAGTATCAGCTGATTCGAAATCTGCGACTTACAGAGGGCCAAAAAGAAGTTTCAAAATTTTAAATTTACCTATAATACGCACCAAGTGAGAAAGGGCTGCAGCATAGTAAAATAACACCTTGTCTCCCTGTCACAATCCTGACTACGAGCATATGAATGCGCCATTAAGACCGGTGTAGCCAAAGCAAGGCTGAAAATGGTCATGCATATTCTTAGGTCTACATATTCTTAGGTTACAAATCAGCTTGAAACCGAACATTATAATGTACTGCATTTTTTTTCCATTGTTTTGTCATACTTTGAGAACTACACTAATTGCCAGATAT